CCATATCTAATTATGTTTTCAAAATGTTATAATTCAGGTATTTTATTTGTAAAACTATATTTAAAAAATAATTACATGATTATATATATATATATATATATATATATATATTATTTATTTATAAAATAATTAACATAAGTTTAATTCAAAATAAAAATTAAACATAAATAAAATTGATTATAAATAACTAAAAATAACACATAATAAAAAAATAAGATTATATATTAATAAAAAAAGTTAAATATAAACGTTTATATATATATATATATATATATATATATATATATATATATAATATGGACAAAAAAATTATGAAAGGAGATAATATATTTGAGAGGGTAATATGGATAATAAATATATAAATGCATTTCTTCTCATATAAATATATTTATATTTTATAATTTACTTTTATAAACAATATTAAATTGTAAAAAATAATAATGTAATTTTTAATATATATTTTTATATAATAATATTTTATTTGGAATAAATTTTTATTAGAATTAATTAATTAAATTTTTTTAATGTAATATATCTTTAGGAAGGATAATTAAGGAAAATATAAAATACTGTATCTTCTACCTTCAAATATTCTCAATGGAGAGAAGAAATATGTTCCTGTTGAATGAATGTTTATTTTCTTTTTTTCAAATAAGTACATTTTCATTGAAACAAACTTGATAATTTTTATACAATTTGTGCTTCCAATTCTTCTGCTACCGTAAATGATGTGAAACTAGGCATGGCAAGGGGCGGAGCGGGGACAGGTTTTGCCTCCGCGACCCTCGCCACGGAAATTTTTAATCGTCATCGTCCCCGATCCCGTCGGGTTAAAAATTAAGTCTCCATCTCCGTCCCGTTGGGTTTCGGGTTTCCCGCCCGCCTCGTCCCCGTTCTATGGTATTATTTTAAAAGTAATTATATATAAATTATAATAAAATAATGTAAAATTATTATCTTTTATATTTTATTTTTTATAACAAATAAATATAATATTATAATTTTTAGAATATTATTATTGATTGAGTGTATATTTTAATTTATTACGTTTATATTAAAATATTTATGCATAAAAAATATATTTGATCATTCTTTTTTCTTCTTATTATATGTTGTTAATCCTTGTAAAAAATATATAATAAAAATAAGTTTCAACTAATGATCCTTTTAAAATAATTATGAAATACATCTAAAAATACTAATAAATAAGTAAACAAAGTTTCTCATGAAAAATAATATAAGAAAACTTCATAATAATGCATAACCGTGCATAGCAATACATATAAGAAAAATAACAAATATTGGATAATTTAATGATCATCCTCCAAATGAGCAACAATGCCACTTGTCAATCAATTCACCTACATAATTTAAAATAAAATATATTATTAAAAAGAGAAATAAAATATTAAAAAATAAATAATAATATTTTTTAATAAATAAAATAATACCTTCATCACCAGAATCCATCTCATTGAGTAAAATAGCATAATCATCAATTAGTTGAGAATTCACACCACCTAAAGATAAAATATAAAGAGAATACTTGTTAAAATCTAAAAATACAATCATTAAATATATATTTAAAAAGGTATATAAAACATTACCGTTGTTTTCAACACTCCATAACCAACTCCTAGCATACATCAAAGCCTCTAGAGTAGTCCAATGAAGTCTACTGCGATGGGGGCTTAATTTTTGACCACTAATACTAAATGTAGATTCAGAAGCTATAGTGGAGATAGAGATAGCTAATATATCTTTAGCAATTGCTTGAATTGTTGGGTATTTGACTCCATTCAACTTCCACTACATTAGAATATCAAAATCAGTTTTTCTTGGTAAAACCTCTTCTTCTAAATAATGGTCTAACTCTATTTTAACATATGTATTTCTTGCCCTTTTTTTTTCTCAAAATATACCTGTCATACTCAGTTAATGCATCACCAGCAACATTAGTACCATCCCTTGTTGGAGACTCGCCACATGTGTCTTTATTCATTTTTGTTTGATTATCAGAAATCAAGTCATAACATAATTGACGAATCATCCTAACTTGCAAAAAGTATTCATGACCATACAACTTTTCATAATAATATTCAAGTAACTCCATCTTGTATCTAGGATCCAAAACAGTAGCGACTCCCATAATAGGATGAATCACATTCCAATACTTATCAAATTTGAACAACATGTTCTCAGACATTTTTTTAATCACTTCATTTGGAGATGCAATCCACTCAGTCAATGTCAATTTAATCTCACATATATTGGGAAAATACAAATTAGCAGTTGGATGTTTAGTAGCAGAAAATAATTCTGTTATAAAATTGAACAATTTCAACCTTTCACAAACATCTTTTGCAAACTGCCATTGTAAACTAGTTGGCAAACAAGTATACTGAGAATCTCGTTGCTTCAATCGATTAAACACATCTTCATATATTATGGCAATTTCAAGCATTTTGTATGTTGAATTCCATCTTGTTGGACAATCTAAAACCAAGCTCCTAGTATAAGAGATCCGCAATTGCTTTGCTGTTTCTTCAAACTTTTCTTTCCTCTTAGGTGTTGCAGACCAATATGCTACACTACCCCGAATTTTTTCAATCTCATCTTTCACTACCTCTAGCCCATCTTTGACTATCAAATTTAATATATGAGCACAACAACACATGTGAAGTAAATCTCCATCTCTCAATAAAGTGTTAATTTGCAATTTACCCTTAATTTTTTCAACCATAGCATCATTTGTAGTACAATTATCAAGGGTGATAGTGGATAATTTTGTATCAATATTCCAATCCATCAAACATTCAACTAATGCATTGCAAAGTCTATCACTTGTGTAAGGAGCTGGAACATAAATGAACCTAAAATAATAATATTCACATAAATTTAATCAATATTCAATCATTTTACCATACGAAAATAAAATAAAAATAATATAAAATATGACTAGGAAAGTGATTTGTTACCTTAAAATGTGACTCTGTAAGTTCCAAGAATCATCAATATAATGAGCGAGTGACAACCATATATCCTCTTTGTTGATTACCTGAAGTCCACATGTCTGATGTTATAGTCACTCTTCCTTCAAGGCTATCCAATGACTTCAAAATTATTGATTTCTCAGACTTGTAAACTTTGAATATTTCCTTTTTAATAGTGTTTCTAGAAGGAACATGAAATACTGGTTGGAGAGCATATGAGTATCTCTTGAAACCAATATGATCTACAATTGAAAGTGGATATTCATGCATAATAATTACATGTGCAAGTTCTTTTCTTACATGTTCTGCATCATAAATTCCTGTACCCAACTCTTGTTTACCTTGCATAACTTTAGGGGTAAGAAATATTTGCTCTTTGTTCCCTCTAGTAGAAATCTTGAATTGAATACAATTATCATTGTGTTGCCATAGGTGTTTCGTTTCATTTTTTGATTTTCCTCCCAAAAGTTTCTTACAATAATTGCACTAAGCCTTGTCCTCTCCATTAACTTGAATCTTTTGAAAATGTTGCCAAATCTTACTTTTAAGCCGATTTGATCCCAATGATATAGTGTCATCATGCTCATTATCTTTAGTTACTGGTGGGACTTCATTTGGTGTAGGAGTAGGACCCTCAAGGTTAGAATTTTCTTTTAACAATGATTCATGCATACTTGCTTGTGTTGTTTCATTATTTTCCATTGTATATAAAAAAAATCCCTACCACCATAAACAAGACATGTATTATTGATTGCCTAAAGATAAAAAATACTCTGTTTATTTCTTCTAAAACAAGACTTAAATTGATCATAAAAGATAAAAAAATATAATTATTTAATTAACATAAGATATGATATATGATAAATAAGAATAGTAAAACCAGAAAACATGATATAACAAAAACCTAATAAAACCAAATTAGAAATAAAATGATATATTGATGTACATATTTAGAAAAAGATAAATAAACAAAAAATTACCTTATGCGTTCGATAAATTGGTTGAAAATACTGGAGAAGTTGATCAGAGAACTCAAACTAGTTAAAGAGATAGAAGAAGCCAAATGTGAGTTGAAATAAGACTAGTTGTGAAGAGATTCAAAAAGACAAAGAAATTAAGAATAAATGGAAGTAAAGTGAAGGAAAGGAACACACTACGTAATGAGAAGATAAAAGGGTATTATAAGAAAACAAAAAGGGTAATGTGAAAAGACTAAGAGTAATAATGTGAAAAGACTAAGGGTAATGTGAAAAGACAAAGGGTTATATATCAGGATTTAAATTTAAATATAATTAACATTAAAAAAAGAAAAGAAGACAAACAGATAAAGAGTTAATATTTTAGAATTCAGGTTTAAATATAAAGTCGGGGCGGGGACGGGGACGGGGGCGGGGTGGGGATTGCATTACCCATCCCCGCCCCCGAACCCGATTTCTTAAAGCGGGAAAAACCCGAACCCGGTCAATTCGGTTTTTCCCCGTCAACTTCGGAACGAGGACGGGTCGGTCCCCACGGAGACGGGTTTGATTGTCATCCCTATGTGAAACAAACACATGCTAAAGTAAACTCGCAACTCATTAATGTCCTAAATTTCATTTACGAAGTCATGTATCAAATTTTTCATTAACCCCTTCCCAAACCTCTTCAATGTAGAATTGAGAAAATTTCTAATCTCCCCCACTCCTCTCAATTACTTTTCCAAAGAACACCAACATCAACAAAAACTTTCACAAACACATATACAAACACAAACATCTTCCCTCCACTCTCACAAAACACAAACATTCATCATTACTCCTACAAAAACTAACTCATCAATCCTAAAATTCAGAATATTAATCAACAATATTATTTTGAGTTGGAAAACTAATCATATTGAAGAAAAGAAATCGGAGGTTTTGAAATACGGAGGAGGTCTCAAATTAGTGCCGGTTTTATAATAATATAATAGGTTACCTAGATTGTTAGCCACAAATTGAAGAAGCACCCATCATCCAGAGGTGTTCCTTACAAGTGGGTCAACTTGAGTGAATTAGTTGTTAGGTTGAAGTTGCCGAAATCAAAATCAAATACAAAGAAGTGAAACCCATGAACATGCATAGGGTGTTCCTTAATGGTCACTATGCTTGTGTCTTGCAAAACAATTTGTACCTTGAAGTCATACTTCACCTTGTAAAGCATAGTTCCCCAAGACGGTGTCCATAACCCTTGTGGCACATTCCTAGTATAATAAAATTGTAAAAGGGGAACATTGTTCTTCATAGTACACTTGCGTTAAGGATGTAGTTCTTGGAAGTACTAATAATACATTTGTTCATGTTAGGCTATGAAGTGGGTTCCATTTGGTTCTACACAACAGGGACTATTAGTATTTGTCTAATTGATTAACCCAACTCCACTATAAAATATAGATTCACATAAACTTTGGTAAATAGTATCATTTAAGGCCTCTAATTCTAATAGTAAATACAATTGTAGTGGTAATATCATTTAAGGCCATCAAAGGTGGTATTATCAAATTGAGCATTAATGGTAGATTCATAAGCATTTACTTTCATGTAGTAAAAACCTTGGGGTTGATTAGTGATGACTAGGACATTGAATGTATGATTAGGTTCTACTATGAGGATTGTAGTTCTAAAGGGCTTGGAATAGGTTCCATCTGTACCAACAATAGTCATGATATAGTTGACAATGGAGATGAAAAGTTCTTGATTGAGTGTATTGCTGATGATTCTTAACATAATTATCTTTTGAACATCTACTTGAACACATACAATTCTTGCATTTTATGTTCTTTACATCAATGCATTTGGAACATCTCTCAAAGTATAATTACTTAGAGGTAGACTGTATGACTGAAAAAGTGAGTGCAAAGTCTTGACCGTGCTACATCACTGCGAACGAAGCTCGATCCCACGGTGAAGGCGATGATCATGGGAGACATGGCGGTAGGAGTACAACGGTGGTGGTGGATATGGTAACAATGGTGGAAACAATAGTCGTTAAAAAGGAGAGGATGACATGAAGGAGATGATATGTGAATGTGTCAATTACCTGTAGTGTCCAAGGTGAAATTTCATTTGTCATGTAGATGACTAGTTAACGTCGTTAGGTAGTAAGAAGCATATTCAATATTTTATTTAAAAGTAGGAAACAAATGTATCTAAACTTTACAACAAAGACAAATAAAAAAATTTACGAGACAGTAAAAAGATGAAAACATATTTAACCCTTTTTCTTATCATTTTCTTCATTATAAATGATACATTACATAAAGAATTCGAAAATAGATTAGTTATTCAACAAATAAAAAACAACATTACTTCAAAATTTAGACCATAATTAATGGGATAGTAATTAAATGGTATTATTTAATTTTACTTTATAATCATGTCAAGTGTTAAGTGGTAAAAGTTGATGTAATTATACTTTTAATTATTATTTAACCACTTAAATTATTTTGATTCTAATATATTTTTCTCCCAATGTAGGATGAATTTGCAGAATACCTTAGTACAAGAGCAAGAATCATAATTCTCAAGATAATTGAAGAAAAATTGAAAGAAGGAAGAAAATTTTCTACCTGATATTCGCTCAAGCGAGACAGATGCTCGTTTGAGTGAAAATACGTTAAAGCTCTCTAGAAGTCACTCGCTCAAGTGAACACTTATTCGCTTGAGCGAAAATACGTTAAAGCTCTCGGGAATTCAACCACTCATTTGAGAAATAAGTTGAGGTTTTGAGAAGAGAGGCACAATAGCTACTCCAGTTTTTGTCCAATCTCCAATTCTTCTTCATTTGGATCATTGTAGTGGCCATTATGAGTGACTGACTTCATTCTCTTAGGATTGAGTGCACTTCCTTTGAACTCTTTTGTATCTTGGTGATATTTTGAGATATTAATCTATGTTCTTGATGTTGTAATTCTTATCATTTTTGCCTTTTAATGCTTTTATCCTTGATATTAATATATATTGAAAAATATATCTTGAAACCCTTGATTAGGTTAAGAATATTTGCTACATTGATTTCTAGGAATGGTAATGGATGTATTAATTGCTTAACACCTTAAACCTAATGCTAGAAAATCTATTAAATGTATGAGGAATCTATATTTACAAGGTTTTCTTATGAATTTCATGTTTGAGGAATCAATGTGAATTATTTAAGTAGGTGACATCAACATTGATAACTTAATTGATGTTATTAGTTTGACCTAGCCATTATACAAAAGAGGGAAAATGAATTAATCTAATCCTAAGTTCTTATATTTCATCTTTTCTAAAAATACTTAATATTTCTTTGCCATTTATTTTCAACGCACATATTTATGAAAAATCAATTTTGTGTCAATATACTTAATAGGCATATGACTTGGAATTTTCAGTGAAACCGTTTCTCGTGGGATCGACTTTTATTTAATTGAAATACTTGTATCTGCGATTGATAATATTGGTATGTTTGCCAAAAGACCAACATCAAGTAATATTAAATAAAAATAACATAATATTTATCATTTTCACTTATAAATGTTGGTAAGACAAATTATTTAGGATGTCTCAGCTTCTGAGTTCAACAATCCAAGATAATATCTAAGATCAACAATTCCAAGTCCGTGTACAAAATTTTCACATTAAACAAATTATTTTCCTGATTAATCATTTTATATCTATATATAATAATAATGTATAAAATAAATATATTTAATGACTCGGTTATAAACGAGAATATGTTACAATATTAAGACATTAAAACAAGTAAAATGTATTACTTAAAATATCTTGGTAAGAGACATATAAATAAGATAACTCTTTTATGTACATATTATCTTATTCAAATACACTTTTTTGTTATCTCTATTCTTCCTTTCTTATACTGACTTAAGCATTGAAGTGCTTTTGCAGATGAATCTCCATCTTTTTCTACAATCCACTAGAGTTTGACCTTGTAGATTCCAAACTTGTCTGCATCTAGACCAACCTATTTGAACTTATTTATTATTGTAATATTTTTGTGATAACATTTAATGCCCATCATAGGTTCGTGAAACTAATCTCAAGCCATAAAGGTTCAAACATGTAATCAGGCTAGCTCATCAAGCATTGACATGATGCCCTTATGATCATTATAGACATTGTCGAGCTACAAAGTAAAAACCAAGAAGGGATAGCACAAATTGAGAAAAAGCACCAAGAAAAGATGAAAGGCTTCACATAACCAGAAGTTTGAGAGACAACTATATACTCTAGTAAGGATAAGATTTCCCTCGAAATATCAATCTCCCTTCAAATACAATCTCCATCGAGTTACCAATCTCTAGTCCATAAATACGAGGCTCAGGACAACCTTCAAAATAACACAGAGGTAGAATCTTGTTGTAGGGTTGACTGAGCTTATAGAAAAAATCAGCATGCCTCAAACATAAAGTAGACCCAATTCTTTAATACTCAAGGGCAACTGAAGTTAAAACTCGAAAGCCCTTTTAGAATTGATATATTGAAGGAACTCATGCCCTTATGATGAAAAACTTCTAATATGGAGAAATTCAGAGATGGTATTGACCTAAATAAGTATATTCGAGCTTATTTGACACAAATAGTATATTTGGAGAAAGTGATGTTTTCTTGTGCATGATTTATCTGGCAGATTAATAAATTAATCTAAAAAATTAGTTTAGAGTAGTTAATTTTGTAGCCAACTAACCACACCAATATATCTACTTCGCTCACTCTCTGAGGATTAAAACAAGAAAGAAATAAGTCCCTAAAAAAATTCGTAGATGGAGTTATTAACGTAAGTATCTTATAATGTAACTATCCATGTTGTGATTCCAGGGTTGAAACAGGGGTCATTTCTAGATAGTCTATATATGAATTACTCAAATACATTATAAGAGCTTAGAACCCAAGCTTTCAGGTTCATACAACTGGAAAAGAATATTGAATCAAGAAAATAGAATAGAAGAGGGAGAACTTGGTCCATAAATATGGTACAGTCAAGACAGTAAACATGAAGAAAGAGGTAAGGGTGGCAATGCAGATTCAGATGCAATTGTGGTAATATGGATACTAAACAAATCTCTAACCATTAAAGCAAGATCTGAAAAGAATTTATTGTTATTCTTCCACTATTCTAACACATCCATTTGCTCTAAAAAATCAATATCCAAGGTTGGTTAATTTAAATAATATCATGTTTAGTCTTTCCACTTTTATTAGCACCTTGAAACTTGCACATTTTTAATTCATATTATGATATAAGTTAGCAATATATAATTGAAAAGTGTAACAAAAATAAAAAAATTAATTGAAAACTATGTTAAAACAAACAACTTACATAAGAAAGGCTTGGTTTTGGTGCAAATGAAGATGAAGATTCCTTCAACTTATTCTTCTAAGTATTTAATGATATTGATGAATTAGAACCTTTGGTAAAATATGATTGAAAAGCTTGTATAACTTTTCCTTGATTTTTACCAATTTCAACCCCAAGCAAGTGTATCAATTTGTTCATAACAAAAATCAAATGTTTCCAATTTCATTCTTAGATCTAAAATTGCAACAAATGCAAGCACCACACTGTTTTCATCCCAATATTTCTCAAATTTGACCAACATCAATTTATCCATATCTCTAATCACTTTATCCTCATCTTTCACATTTTTCATTAATAAACATTGAATTTTCCAAAATTGTAAAACATACAAGTGTGAAGTAGGATAACTTATGGTTGAAATCAAGATAGTAATATCATTAAAAGGTAACAAGAACTTCCAAACTTTTTCTTTTGTTTCTCACTCTTCCAATGAAGGACAATATTTTTAAAATTCATCAACCAAGTGACAAACTTACAAAAACACGTTGATATTTAAGATCACTTTTAAGCATCAGGTAAGTTGAGTCTTGTCTTGTAGAGGCATCAAGACATAACCCACTTGATGTAATCATATCACCAAATTTTGCAAGACATTTTTTGAATTTCACCATTCGACTCTCTTAACCCCTCACATATTTGATGTTATTTCTAATTTGGTCCAAAGCATCATCAAACACTACTAATCTTTCTTGAAAAATTAAATTTAAGACATGTGCACAAAAATGAATAGGAAAGAATTCACCATCACATATCAATCCATTTTGTAACAAAAGTTATCTTTTTAAAGTATTTTGGAGAACATCATTAGAATAAACATTATATATACTTTTTTTTCTACAATCCCTGTTGAATTATTGACAAGCGTACCAAAATTATCAATCACAGTATAGTATTTCGATTAAATAAAAGTCGATCCCACGAGGAACGGTTTCAATGGAAATTCCCAATTATATGCTTACTAAGTGGATTAAAACATATTAGGTTTTTCAATAAGAGTTGAATTGAAATTAAATGACAAAGACTGTAAATTACTGAGAAAATATCAATTAAAGGCATTAGGATTGGTTTCCTTCCTTATCCCTCTTTTGTAATGACTATGTCACTTAAGAACGTCAATTAACTTAACAATGTTGATGCCACCTACTCAAATCATCCATGTTAATTCCTCACACATGAAATTCATAAGAAAACCTAATAAATGTTGATTCCTCACACAATTAAGAGATTTTCCAGCATTAGGGTTAGGGTGTTAAGCAATTGATACATTCATTCCATTCATGACAATTAACGTAACAAATATTCTTACCGTGATCTAGGGTTCAAGATATATTTTCCAATCATACCCTAAACATCAAGAATAAATCATTCCAAAGCACAAAGGATAAGAATAACAACATCAAAACATAGATTAATATCTCAAAATATCACCATGATACAAAAGAGTTCAAAAGAAGTGCACCCAATCTTAAGAGAATGAAGTTAGCCACTCATGTTGGCCATTACAATGCTCCAAATGTGGAAGAAGAAGAATTGATGAAGATTGGACGAAACCCTAGTAGTAGTCGCACC